CAGTTGGCTGCTTGATTACGAATCGCAACTTAATTTGATTATTAAAATTAAGGTATACTCAAACTCCATTTTCATAATTTTTATACCGTAATTAATATCAAATATTAATTTCTGGATTGACATTTCTATTAAGTAAGGAATTTAAAAAAGCCTCTGATACCATACTTTCACAAAAGCAAACGTGGCAACTTTCTCCTATAAACACACTAATAATACAGTTAAATTTATACAATTAATAACACTGAAAAAACTAATTTTTACAAACAATAAAAACCTGCTATGTCTTGAATTAGTAGTTTACAAACATCAATGTATTATTTACAAATAGGCCTACAAAAAACTGATAACGTAAATAGTAACTCAAGTCAAAAGCTTTTTTTCGTATTCCAATGGCAACTGTTAACCAAAGCCTATTTTACCAGTTTGAGGTTATGATTTGGATGAGATGATAATCCCAGTTGACAACTCAGACACAGTTTTCGACTCATGAACCAGTAAATATTATTACAGCTGACGACTCGGTCAGTAGCGAATTTGGCAGGGGTTCAAGTTGATATTTTTAGACAAAAACAAGTCACTAATCGTCAAAGATCTCCGTGAAAGACTAACAAAGGAGACTCTCGTTGACAGATTAAACTGTAAAAACAATGTTTAAATATTTACTCACGGTATGTCTTGCCTTTGAATTATTGAGAATTGTCTTTGATAATCATTTTAGTACTGCAGCAATGCAAATAGGGAAGATATATAGTTGTCACTTAACCTTATCAGTTTTACCACACTATCGCAGCTTGCAAATATCACTTTATCAGTGTTGCCACATTATCACAGCTGAGGCAACGAACAGTTTATCACGTAAGCCCTGATAATCAGTAAAGCAGCAGGAGTGGAAGTTTGGGAGCGGAACCGTCAAATCGATCCAGCGATGCCGTCTTGATATTGTAGCGCTCTGGGTAATTAACTAGCTTCGTTTAAATTTGCCATTTACCAAATCAAAGTTCACTGAAGAAACCGAGAATTGCATTGTAAGGTCTTATATCATTGTTACATTTGGTTTTGGCAGATTTCATAGAGAAAAAGCTATAATCGTAGATCTCGTGGTAAGACCTGGACCCGGGACCAATTTACTTTTTCGTTATAATGTTCTTGGAGGCCAAAAACACCATTTGTTCAAATTCGTATTATTATACAGGATATAAAAAAGTTCCGGGAGCATTAAATATTTCAAAATAATTTATATACACAGTTAACCCATTAACACAGGATGCCACACAAAGAGAATTTTATTTTGATAACAATATCGAGTCAAATCAATATAGTCATCCAATGAGAGTATGTACTGTGGCTGAGTCAATAGAAATAGTCCAGTAAAACCACGAGCAAATACCAATAGTAAACAATTACGCAATATTGACTGATTATAAGTTAATTAGCATTATAGCAGAGAATGTACTAATCATTTACAATAGAAAACAGTTTGTCCTAAGCGTTAACGCTCATATATCAATATTAAGCGATTAAAATAATATTTTTACCAAGAAAACTGTTCCATATTTAGCTCTGGCATACCCACAAAAGATATTTTTCTTCCCAAAAGGACAATACACAAATTTAACTTACGAAATTGTTGTTACACCCATATCTCTAAATTTTCAATTGTTTTCTAATTACATTTTTATTAGAACTCATAGTGTTTGAGAACATTTTAAATTATATCTTTTATAAATGGATTCAAGCGCCAGCTGCACTCGACAGATCTCGGAGTTGAATGTTTCAGACAGACGGTTTTGTGCCTAAGGTAGTCTGTTAAAAGATTATTAATCGTTAGCTACTTTCACTAAAAACGATTACTAAACATTTTACCTATTAATAAATTGAAAACCTTGTAGACCTTTTATCATATTTATAAACTATTTCATTGATTTTATTTATTATATGCATCATATTAATGTTTTTTTTTCTAATTCAATGGATGGATGTTTGTAGTAAAAATATAAACCTAAAACCGTTTTGCTAAGCAATTTTCAATCTTATCACATACTGAAAACAAGTCACGAAGTAAATCAATTTATTATACAGATACTTTTAAAGTTTTAAATAAATTGTTCATTTTAAAAATATCTATAATGACAACGCTTCTCTTATGTTCACAAAACGTTTGAAACGAAACAAAGTTGTTTTGCTCCAGGTTCATAGGGAAAATGTTCTTTATTTACATAACAAAAAAGTTGACTCCTAAATAATTAAAATAGTACGGCAACATTTAAAACTGTATATAGAAGATGTCATAACGGCACCTGTTTGCGTAAATTTGGATGGTATATTATTAAATAGACCTGCCTTACTAAGCTAACTAACCTTTACCTTTTAATTAAGATTTTATATTATGTTTCAATGTTATAAGGGTATATAATTAATTATATTTCAATATTCATCAATATTATGTGTAGTGTACCTTATAATACCCTAACTAACCTTAGTAAAATAGCCTTAACCTAACTAAGTTTAACTTTAGTAACTGAACTAGCCTTAACCTTGGCGAAATAACTTTAACCTTACTAACCTTAACATTAGTTTAAAACCAGTTAACGGATTAATCAAAGTGATATCGATTTCACTTCGGCCAGCATACACGTGACACATGTCAGTGTCAATTCATCAGCAAAAACTCCCGTGATCAAATCGTTTAACGATAACTGACATGACCCTACCTAATTGCCACCTAGATTCTACCTTGTCATAACTAATTGCCACCTAGATTCTACCTGATCGTACCTATTTACTATCTATATTAAATAAATAAATAAGGTCTTTATTTGCAAGCGTTCATCAAAGTACAAACTCTGTTTTTCATGACAACTTTTGTCAAATTAAGTAAATAAAACAATACAATAGTCTATTCATAAAATCAAAAATAAAATTATCTATACAGTTTGGGTAAACATTTCCTTTGCACATTTCTTAAACCTATTACAACTGTACTCTTTTAAAGTGGGTGGCAAAGCATTGTACTTTTTTGGGCCAAAGAAACTAAACCCCTTCTTCCCCGTTTCCAGTTTTGTCTTTGGCAAGTGCAACAGGCTGTCCTGTCGAGTACTGTGTTCACTTATTTCATGTCTAAATACCACCTTTTTCCTAAGGTATTCAGGTTTTCCCGTCTGAAGAACTTTGTGGACCAGATTTACAGTTAGTATGTCAGAGTACCCCATGATTGACAACACCTTGTCACTCAATCTGTGCTCACTAGTGTGATCAATTTTTTTTCAGATTGTAGACAAATCTAAGTAGGTACTCTGTTCTGCAGCCGGGTAAGGATCATCAGATTTTCCTGAGTAAGGCAACAGGAAAAAGCAGGAAGAGCATAGTATATAACAGGATATTCTACCTGTTCCTACCCAATGCTACCTAGATTCTACCTAATCCTACCTAATTGCTACCTGATTCTTCCTAATTGCTATCTAGATCGTACCTGATACTACCTAATTGCTATCTTTATTTTACCTGATCCTACCTAATTGCTATCTATATTCTACCTGTTCCTATCTAATTGCTACCAAGATCCTACCTGATCCTACCTAATTGCTATCTTGATCGTACCTGATACTACCTAATTGCTATCTTTATTTTACCCGATCCTACCTAATTGCTATCTATACCTATAGATAGTTTTTTTTTATTCTACCTGTTCCTATCTAATTACTACCTGTTCCTATCTAATTGCTACCAAGATCATACCTGATCCTACCTAATTGCTATCTAGATCGTACCTGATCCTACCTAATTACTGACCAAACAAAGGAGGTTGTTGAAATATCAATGTTGATTGATTTAAGTTTGTTTTACGGACACTATTTCAGTTGATTACGGTGGTGTATAAAAGAGATTTAAATATGAAAAATTAATTTATTAGCAATCGCTTGATACATCTTCATGATCCGAATAGTAAAATTTAAATTGCACTATATAAAACAGTTGACCGAATGTAAGGTAGTGTCTTTTGTCGAATAAACTAGGAGAAGGAAAACTAATCAACGGATTCCATAATAGAGCCCTTATTTTCTTGCCCTATGGGGGTTTTCTTTGCATTACAGTTACAATTATTCTAATTGTTTTAGTTTCCTAATTTAATAAATTCGTGTAACCATACAAAAATTTCTCGCTAAAACAAAGTTAACCATGTAAATATATTCGAATTATTTATCACTTGTGTAAAAGTTAGTTTTGTTTTTATAATGAATCTTGTTGTTTATTTGTCGCTGCTATAGATTAAACTCATTTTAAACAAAATACTATGTATCGCTATTATTGGGTATATTGTGTTCAATATACACTGTAGCACATTTTAGTTTATGTTACAGTAAATATAGTTAACATTTGACTTCTACTCAAATAAAGGGAAAATTACTAGTACATAAACATTCTTCAAAATACATCTACAAGCATCTATTTTTAAGTCAAAGTTTTACCAACAACACGTGCGATTTCAGAAGATAATTTAAAGACCAACTCCTAATTTACATGTAAAGTACATAGCTGTGTAGCGACCAAAAGGTTCATCTGGTTTTCCATCCTGAGTGTTTGTAGAGTATTTCAGCTTTGTGAAACATGGTTTAGCTTCTATCCTTCACAATCAACGAGTAAAATTATTCAACATTGATAATCTGTATAGACTACGCAAAATATACATTCACCAAAGTTTTATTCCTTAGCCTAACCACCGCAGCAGAGAGTGAAAACAATCTTCTGGAAAACATACATTTATGGTGCGTGATAACTAACTATATCTGAGTCAATATAAATATTTAACTTATATTTTATCCGATAAAATATTCTCTGAGGAACCTTTCCGATTTATGGTCCTGGGGTACAAAAAAACAATAATAAGTCAATATTTTTATTTGATTGTTTATTTTTCTTTATTTAAGCGATGTTTGTCAAAAGACATGGTTACCTTGATGTGCCATGATTCTTCCACTTGCAAGGCATCGTGTCTAGTCTAATCATGGACAATTGAATTCGTGGAGATCACCTCGTGATACTTTAACATCCTTAAACGGACTATTGTAAGCAAGATCAATCCCCATTATAAAACATCTTTTATCTTTTCTTTTATACTCAAGTGTAAAATGTCTGTTGTAATAGGTGTACCGCCCTATTTTGTCGATGTATATTCCTTCGTCCGTACAAGAGTCTAGAAATAACTTCTCTAAGATTATGCCTTCGTGTATTATACTTGCTGTTATAGTGGTTTTCTGTTTCAACCACCCCTTTGTTTCCATAGTGTATGTTTGGCACTTGAGCTCGAGTTGCGGATCATATCTTAGAAGGTAAGAGATAGGTGTGTCATCAGGGTTTCCATATTTGTTGAAATCCCTGATATCAAAGGTTCCCGATGATAATAACCAGTCTGTAAAACACAGTAAGTTTATTATAAACATGGAATAAAACTAATATATTAAAATATGTCCACTGTAATAGGAGTGGTCAATAGTTTTTTTTTTTTTAAAGAGGAAGTGTTTGGCAATGTTGTATGAATAGGCTGGAAGTGTTGCTAAACAATATTTTGTTTTCCTAACCTAATAAGGCTGTGGCATTAAGTAGGCCTGAAAACTTGATCAGGGGTTCAGTTTTGGGTGGAGTGGTTAGTGTACAGTATTGGAGGATAGGGTCTTGCAGGGGGAGCTTAAGGCTAAGACTTTGGGTTTTTTTTTTAGTTAATGTTTAAAACTGTTCCAGTCCAATCTAATTTTTTTCAAAAAAATAATCCTCGTGTCTGCATGTTTTGTAGCCAACAGAGTTGGGCTTTTTAAGCAAATGCTGAGTATGATTCCTGAGCTACATTACCAAAAGTAACAGTGCGTAAGCGTCTAGTTAGAACGGAGGTAACCTAGCGTTCCAGCTCAATGCAGGGTGTGCACAAAAGAAGTAAACAACACACTTAGTATTACTATCTTAGAATGAGTAATATACACTATTAGGAATATAAAAACTTTGAGGTTAATCCAATATACAACTATAAGTGTTAATATATGTGCCACGGCTTGTTTTGCAGACCTCTATTCTAAAATCTATTCTAAACATGTAGATTTTGTTAAATTGATGTACAAATACAAATGGGTTTACTTCTTTTATGTGCACACGATACAACTCATCCATATCCTAATAACAGTTGTAGACAATGTATAAATCTGTTTTCACCAGAGGTACCAACTGTATTATAATAGTAGTAGGGAATTAACACCACTGAGCCGGAAGTGGCGTCAAATCTGGTATGACAGATGTATCTGTGACGTGGTAGGTGTCGTATTTAGGAGTGGGGAGTGGTACTTGCGTCATACAGTGACATAGTATTAGGGTGATTTCTTGTGTTTTGGGAACGACGTGGTCTTTTGACGTCATGAGATTGTTTCAAAGTAATTTGTTTGTTTAAAAAAAACTAAGCTATCCCGCACCGGGCCATCCAGTGTGTAATAGCATCGTTTTCACAATTTTTATTTTTATTCTTTAACACAAAAGTGCATTTGTAGTTGTCTGTTGTTTAGAGGTAAAAAATTAAAATTTAACGTTGATGTGTTAGAAACTGCAGAAGGACGTTGACTAGATAATACATTGCTCTAGTAGGTGGTTCGGATGAATTGTAGTGAAGGGACATTTACATTTGGATAGTTACTTTTTGTTGATAGTTCTGAGTGAAACTGATACGTTAAATTAATTAATAAAATCGTTGTATTTTGTATAACATCTATAAGTATTTTATTTATTTACTGTTTTATTAAAAACCATGGAACGTGATCGCTCCGATCAACTGGCTTTCACTGTCATGAAAGCAATCCTAGTCTTGAACCATAACAGTTCGCTATACGGTATGTAGCAACAGCACTTGTCAGTATCTCCACTACTTCACCCAAAGCAATCATTTCACATCCACGGATCCACCTCTTCACTAGCCAAGATCAACTGAATCAGTACCCTGCTGTCTTAACTCCCCCCACCTTTCCTCCACCACTTGGTCAAGTACCTCCACTTTTTCAACTAGCACAGTCACTTTTCCTCACCCGCTTCACTAGTCAACATCAACTCAATCAGTGCCCTGCTCTCTTAACTCCCCCACCTTTCTCCCACCACTTTGTCGATTACCTCCACTGTTTCACCTAGCACAGTCACTTTACCTCCAGCTCTTGACTAGTCAACATCAACTCGCACATCAACTACACTCCTAACCAAGAAGTAAATATCCCTTTACTATGTATATCCAAACCACCTACAAGATTAATTGAACATGTAGACAAAGTCATTTTTTTTCAATTTCTAACACATAAATGTTAATTTAAAATCTTACCCATCTAAACAACCAACAACAACAAAAACGTACTGTTTTAATTCAGAATAAAAAATAAAATAAACAACACTAAGCTACATCACACTGAGCAGTCCAGTGCGGGATGGCTTAGTTTTGTTAAACAAAAGAATGACCTTGAAACAAACTCATGACGTCAAAACACCTCGTCATCGACAAAACACACTTTATCACCTTCACACGTCACTGTATGACACAACTGCCGCTTCCCCCAAATACGTCCAGCACGTCACAGATAAATCTGTCATAACGGATGTGACGTCACTTCCAGGCCAGTGGCACTAATTGCCCCCTATTTATAACTATAATTGTAAATGTTTTACTTACCATTCTTTGACAAATATTGAGTACCCTGAAAAAATAAAATGAAAATGTTTGGTTAGAGGTTAGCTACCTACTGTAATATATTATCTATTATTGGGAGATAGCCAAATACAAGTAATGTAAAAGTGGATTTCTTGGCCCATCCTCTTTTACCGGAGTTGTTCGATTGCAATATTTATAACCCTAAGCTAAGGCAATTAATATTTAGTGAAATTACACCTATTGCTTGACGAAGGTGGTTTATATATTTCTCTAAACAAACGTAATAAGCATTACTAAAATCAGGAATACAACTAATATCGAACTATGGAAGCTATAAATTCATAGATATGTCCATTCGGTAAATAATTAGTGATTTTTAGTACAGTAATAAAACACACTCACTAACGTTTTACGTTTAGAATGTAAGCAAATGACTTGTTAAATAAGTTTAAGGCAGTTTTTATTATTATTTATTATTTTTGTTTTTTATTTCCGAAGAGCTGTAGCGTGGAGTAAATTTTATTGATGTGTTTTTTTTTTGTGTTTTAAAACTTATGACTTTATTAAAAGTCAAATGGCGATATATATTACCCTTGTAATGACTCCAGAGCAACAGGTATCCTTCCAAAACTCAACATATCGTCACATTTGCGAAAGGCCCCTATATTTTGATAGGGTACGAGATCATTGTCATTTAACAGGCCAATTCTGTGAAGCTGCCCAAAACGTTGTAATTTAAATTATAATGTAACTCACAAAATTCCAATATTCTTCCATAACTTAAAAAATATGATAGACATTTAATAATGCAACACTTGAAAGAGTTAAATCGTAAATGAATTACCGTCGGCTGACTTATTAAATTAAATAGCATAGCCAAAGAAATGAAAAAGTACATTTCATTTTCTGTTGACGATTTAGTGTTTTTAGATTCTTACAACTTTCTGTCCCTTCCATTATACAAATTAACTTCCAATTTAAATACATTTAGATTTATAGACAATCCACTACTACAACGCAAAGGTGTATTTCCCTATGGATACACGACGGGACTGAAAAGGTTTTCAGAGTCTCTCCCTCGAAAAGAAGCAATTTACAGCAATCTAACTAAACAACATTTCTTTCTCAGAGAATATGAACATGCTTAACAAGTATGGACCCATTTTAATATAAGGAATTTACAAGAATATCATGATTTATATCTATTGGTATTGCTATTGGCCGATGTGTTTGAGACCTTTAGAGACCTATGTTTAAAGGATTCTAAACTTGACCAATGTCAAGTTGGCACATGGACTCACTTCTTGGATTAGCATGGGAAGCTTGTCTTAGAATGACTGGTATAAAATTTCAATTATTTCGTGATATTGACATGCATTTATTCATATAAAGTGCAATCAGATGAGGGGTTAGTATAATTTCCGCACACTAGGCTAAAGCCAACAATAGATACATGGGTGAGCACTAAGACCCCAATCAAGAATGTGTATTTAATATATTTATATTGTAACTTGCTATAAGCAATGTGCGAGCCGTTGCCCATTGATGAATTTTGTTGGACAAGTGTCCTAGGCCCGATTTAATCAAAATTATGATTTTGGATACAATTTTGAAGTTGATTTAAAATACGATAGCATGATTTACATAATGCCTATCCATTAGCACCAGAGAAAATACCAAATTAAATTAATACCTCATCAAGGATGAGTCCATGTTAAAAAAATATGTCACTAATCCAAAGTTGCCTGTAGAAAAAGTGTAATAACAATTTGCATGCTATACATTTATATCAATTAATTGTAAAGTTTAATAAACCAATATATTTAGAGATGGCAATTATAGATATTAGTAAAGTTATAATGTATGTTTTCCACTGTAATTATATGTCAAAATTTAAGAACAAAAGATGTCTAATGACAGACACAGATTCTTTAATGTATTCCATAGATACAGAAGACTTTTATAAGAAAATAGTATGCGACTTGCACTATTTTGATACCTCTAGATATGGTAAAGGGCATTTCTCATACTCTGATAAAAATTAAAAACATTACTGGCAAGTTTAAAGACGAATTAGATGGTTATAGATTAACTACATTCATTACTCCTGATCTTGGTCATTGTAAGATTTATCAAACATGAATCTATATTTGCCACTATTCTTTGACTTCTCCTTGTATATTATGAAAAAGCCATATTTAGTTTTATCCCAACATTGGTGGCAGAGATTTCTAAATAGGTCATATGAAACATTATTACCAAACATGATTTTTATATAAATGTTTTTAATTTAAATCGTCCTACAAGGAAAACTGTTTATATTTTTATGTCGACCCATAGAGAAAAATGGAGTAATATTTGGACAATTTATGTCATAAAATACAACAAATGACTGTGATTCGACTCATTTGGTGTGATTTCACAGTAAGTAAACGTGCCCACAAACGAAGTATTTCTATATTTTTTATATTTTTCTTGTTCTAAAGATTTAGGTATTAAATATGAGTTTGTTAATTTTAACTGTCGCCCCACTTCCACATGGGCCATATATAACACATAGAATATTGGTAGGAAATATACCCAGCTTTGTTGGCGTGTTTTGGTGATTCCCAAAATTACACTTAATTCGATCCATTTAATACTATCAGATGGGGAGAAGTTACAATTACAAAGGATGTCATTGCAAGAAAAAGTTGCAAATTGTATTTAGAAGTTTAGAATTCAGAGCACATACATGGTCAGTATAGACATCTTCGAGTTTGGAGAAACCTAGATATAATATTTGGTTTCCAAACAGCTAGGGACAATAGTGCGCAAAAAATTACTGATGAATTTGATCATTGTAAATTAAAAGATCTCAAATAGTTTCTAAAGTCTGAGTATTTTCCTTATACCGATGGTAGGATTACTACATACATATGATCTTTGATCCAAGCTTATAAAGTTATTTAATTGTGGTTTTACACCTTCGTATAGGATAAGAGTCAAAATATCAGCCCACAGCATGGACTTTGAAATGTAAAGCAAAGTTAAAATATAGTAAAACAATTATCAAAGCTGATATTTTTCCTAAAATTAAATACTATTCATGCAAAGCCTCTTGTATTCCTTTCCATTAATCTAAACATACAATTTTAACCCTAATCTTGACATTCCTAACTTTAACTACCACAAATGGTTTTGTTAAGAATCATTCTGTTATATTTCAAACTTACCACCACAGTTTTCTTGTTGCAATCCATCCGCTTTAAGCCCTCTCTGTCCAATTTCGCATAATAGTTAATAGATGTGACCGTGTATTGTCTGGAGGCACAAACAACATCGTTCTCGTTTTTACTAACCTCGTACGTCATAGTAAATGATAACTCAACATTTACTGATTTCTTCTTCCAATTTGGCTCTCCAATTATACCTATGTGATCTTTCACTTGTTGGCAATCTCCTTCAACGTCAGTCCGCTTCAATACATCAAGCAAGTATCCTTCTGGGCCGTATACAAACGCCTCGACTTTATCGTCATGTTTTACGCATTTAACAATCAATCTTTTGGCTGATCCTAAAGGAATTTCGTATCTAGTTACAAGATGTTTTAAATCATCCCTTATGAACTCAGTGGGGAGTTGTTTTAAATTTTCATAATCCGATGTTTCTGCTTCAGGAGCTTTCACAACTGAAAGATAAATATAGCATATAGACTTGATTATGTCAGAATGTTTTAAAACTTGTTTAGAGTCTCTCAATCTGAATAATTAAAGTTTGTTAGTTGTCGCCATTTTTTTAATCATGTTTGATTGAAATCGTTAAGTACCAGCAGCCGAGAGGAAATATTAAATTTATATAGGAACACTTTTATTGCATGTCTTATAAGTTGTAATTACATATATAAATGCATATAATACTAAACTAGTTTTGTAGTCATTTTAGGAATTAAATAAACGAGTTTCAGGCAAAAAAAATTTTAGTCAATCAGTTACAACTGGAAGTTTAAATTATTTAATTTAAAATAAAAATCTTTAAGCGTTATTTAAACGACTTAAACGATTTAAGCGACGACTTTTGAGGTTAATAACATTAAGCTCAAATAAAAACGATATCTAAAGCAAATTCCCAAAATATTGAATTTGTAGTGTGGTGCCTGTAGATGAGTTTGAAGCATTTGTGGAAAGTTTTTAAGGAATAACAAAAATATTTCTTGAACTGAACACGGATTTGCAACACTGTCAGTAATTGAGATGAAGTATTATTCTGACGACTCTATTCTAGTTGTAATAAAGAGAAGTATAAAGATTGTATTACAAACATTATAAACAGGAACATATTGTGTGGAAAAAGGGTGAACGAGCTTGATACAAGCTGTCTTGACAACTAAGGACACCACTTACTACTGGTAGTGCTAATTCTGTTGTATATTTTGCCAATGTCAATGACAACAAGACATCAATACTGACATCTTCAATAGGTGAATTCGAATATTCTAAGTTTATTAGTGATTTAAAGTTGGAGCAGACTTACATTTACACACACACCCTCACACACACACGCAAGCACGCATGGCTGACAGGTTGTTACCAAAGTTTAACAACTCGTCTAAATAGTGAAACGTTGAAAATAAATATCGGTTTTACCATGGCCTGTTTTCCCCTTCAAGAAAGTTGTTTGACCGTCACATATGTTCTTGTGTATCTGCAACAGTATAAGCTCATTTCAGATGAAACACTTATCTTTTAATTCTGATCACTGTGGACGATAAACATAAACTTATTGATCACAAACATTGTACGTAGAAGGCTGACATCATAGCCTCCTCTAATGTGTCTAAAGTATGTTTGTGTGGCCTATTAGAATTGTACTAGTTTCTCTGCCCGTGCTTTGCAACGGGGTGAGAATACAGGAGAGAATAATTTGGTTTTTAAAAATCTACGGAAAAAAATATTGAACTCTGACATTCATTTGTATTTAACCCAATACTCGTTTTATATTAAACGATTGAACCATTGGTTGCTTATATTCAAGTAACAACATGTAATCATGACGCAAACATATCTTGACACTTAAAAAATTCCACTACTGAAGTCAAATTTATTAAACAGCTGGGTTAGTAAATTTTCCTCATAAGAAATACATTGGGATTTTGATGGCCTGTGGGGCAAAGCCCGAGGACCTTGATTACAGGAATTGGTGAAAGGGGGCGTCTACAGAAAAAATACTTAGTTTTTACACATTGTTTGCAATAATCCGCCCATTATTAAAAAAGTAGTAGTGTTTCGTAGAAATCGCCTTCACGTATTATACTGTATTTAAGGAAATGTTATGCTTACATACGACAGCTAAATGTTTGAAGTCAAATACACAGCGAAACTTATAAATTTGACTCTTTTGTGTTTTAGCGCACTTCCCTCTTGGTAGCATACAATCAACTTAATGCCATTGGTATCTAAAAAACTATTACATTTAGTGAAATAATTAACTACCTAGAAAACTTCAATCATTTTCCTATGACAAAAATGGCTGTTATTTTCTAAATGGCTGATAGCTTTAAAATTCCTCACCGAACGTTATGTATTTCAGTAGAAGTTTTTAATCTTTGAAATAAAAAGCAATACAGAAAAAAATGGATTTCTACTAAATTGCACACTAAATGCTAGAAACTATAAAAGGATTAGCAGAGTACCCGTCCTTCGTACGGGGTTGGCATATAAGTAGAAAATGCTCATTGCAGTTATACTCAAGCTTTGTGTTTGCAATGGGAGAGGACACAGTTTGATAAAATTTGCTTCTTTAAATTTAACGTATACTTATTCAGGGCTAGAGATAGACATTAGCCCTGTATATATGTAGCCCTGTACCATAGTATTACACATCTACCATAGCCATAATGTTCTACCACTTCACCTAAACAATAGGGAAAAATAAATTATTAAAAGTATTCAAAATACCACAAATTATTTATGAAATTAAAAACATAAACTTAACTGTAAACAATCCTATATTGACAGTTATCATTGCGTATCACAGTTTTTTCTTGCTGCTTATAGTTCAAATAAGCTGTTATCATAAATTCAAAAAAAGTAGTGCTTCACCCTGTTGGTAAACCTTATAACTTTTTAATAATTTTGCACATCATAGAATCAACTTTTTTAGTTGAAACAGCTGACTAAATTCTTTAATTCCTTTTAAATATGAATACTCATAAGGTTAACATGGGGAACTGCAGAGCCACTGTGGTGGAGCCCGAAAGGATTTTTGAGAAAAGAATATGCCTATATGTTAATCAGGAATCTGAGCTATCATCATGCCAAATTTCAGCCCAATCCGTCCAGTCCTAAATGCGTGATTGAACTTCAAACAAACACACAAACTTTCACATTTATAATATTAGTAAGATAAGATTAGTAAGATAATTAATGAAAATGAGTAAATGCAGAAAAAAACTTACCAGAAACGACACGAAAACCACGTAAGATTTGAATTTCATGATACATGGGAATGTGTCGAACTATCCGCGCAACATGGATCTCTGGATGTAAGCCTACGTAGTTTAGCTGTCAAATTATGTTGGTGAAAAATTACGATTAATTGCATGCAAGTGGCATAATCTATCTGACTGACATATAGTGCGCAGGTAAAAGTCATAACTCATAAGTATGGCGTGCACAATTAATTTTACTTTGACGCAAACCAACGTTAATCGTTGAAACATTACAAACTAAACACTACCAAATAAATGTTAAGTGTTGTGCATGGTTTGGCAATTTCCTTAAAACCACCTCACATGTACAATCTAAGATATTGTTTGTTCTTAGACATTCAAAAATAATGTACAAAATTATGGGTAGAAAAGAATATCCAGACTATTTGAATTTTTAAACGTTAAAATTAAATTAAATAATTATTTTTTTTTATATAAATGCAAACAAACCGCTCTAGATATTAATAATCTAACAATATTACTAATATTATACATGTGAAAGTTTGTGTGTTTGTTTGTAGTTCAATCACGCATAAACCACTGGACGGATTGGGCTGAAATTTGGAATAATGATAGCTCAGATTCCCGATTAACATATAGGCATATCCTTATCTCAAAAATCCTTTCGGGCTCCGCCCCAGTTGTTCTGTAGTTCCCCATGTTAACCTTATGGAATTAAAGAATTTAGTCAGCTGTTTCAAATAAAAAAAGTTGGTTCTATTAAATGCAAAAGCATTAATAATTATAAGGTTTACCAACAGGGTGCAGTAGGCTACTGTTATTATTTTTCATTCATGAAAACAGCTAAATTGAACTAAGTAGCAACAAAAACTGTAATACGCAATGAGAACTTGTCAAAGTAGGATTGTTTACAGTTATGTTTATGTTTTTATCAATAATTTATGATATTTTGCGATTTTTAATAATGTATCTTTTTTTATTGTTTCGGTGAAGTGGTAGAACATTACGGTTATGGTGGATGTGTAATACTATAGCATACCGTAAATTTAAAGAAGGAAATTTTATCAAACTGTGTTCTCCCCCATTGCAAACGCAAAGTAATGATTATAACTGCAATATTGAGTATAACTACAATAAGCAGTTTATAGTCTACTTATATGCCAACCCCGTACGAAGGACGGGTACTCTGCTAGTTTATAATATATCCCATTATTTGGTAGATTTAAATATTTTTCCTAAGTAAATGAACAACTGAAAAACACGTACTTGTTTTAAAAATATATTTTTTTCTTTTTTCGTCGGGCTTGGTGATTTATCTTTAGTGTAATACATCTTTGATCACATTTAATAGTCTTCTGAACTGAATATTTAAATATCATAGTTAAATGTTGTAAGTTGTCAGTTATTGTTTACAAAAATTAATGTGGGGTGTCAAGAAGATAAAAACTACAAATGCTAATATAATGGTATATAATTTTGTTCCTAAAATAATGAGAAGTAAACTTGAATTTATTAAATAACCTAAAACTTGGTGAAATAACTTTATCCTTATCAACCTAAATTACCCCTTACTAACCTAAATAGCTTTAATATTGGTGAAATATTATTACCTTACTTTCAAAACCATCAAACTGCACAAATTATTAAATTTTTTTAAGTGATATCGATTTTACATCTGCTGCCAGACAATGACTTTAAGTTCCTAGTTTCACCATATATATATTAACTAGCTGTACCCGCGGGCTTTGCCCCGTTTAACTTCACAAGTAAGCTCGTTCTCATGGCTCAATCACGTCCTGGTTGAAGTTTGTTCGCTACGCTCACTCACCTTTAGGTTGGAGCTCGTTCGCTCCGCTCACTTGCCTTCAGGTTAGCTCGTTCGCTACGCTTACTCGCTTCCAGGTTGAAGTTCGTTCGCTACGCTCACTCACCTTTTGGTTGCCAATTTTGGCTGTAGTCATAAATTTAAAAAAATAATAGTTCTGCACCCTGTTGGTAATCCTTGTAACTTTAATGCTATTGAACATCATAGAACAGAGTCAACTTGTTTAATTGAAACAGCTGTTAAGAAATTCCTTTTAAGTATGAAAAATCATAAGGTTAACATGGGAAACTCCAGAGCCACTGGGGCGGAGCCCGAAAGCCCGATCAGAATAAAAACTACTTAGTTTTCCTATTTAATGCCCAAAGAATCGGTGTACCAAATTTCAGCCTCCTAGGTAAATGGAAAGTGGGAGAATTAGTGATGAGTGAGTGAGTCAGTGAGGGCTTTGCCTTTTATATATATAGATTACGTAAGCCGATTCTTTGCGTCAAAATTTTGGGCGACTGGAAAGTCGTAGAATGGCGGAAGAGGGCTCAAATTAAAGGTCTCGATCCCGTGACGGCGGGAAAAATAGTGAAATTCCCCAAATTTTAACACAAAATTCGATATAACGTAAAATGTTCTCCATAAAAATAGCATTAGAAGCCATTTACTGCTGATTTTTGTTTACTTCAATACAGCTGATCACGATTTATCACTAAGCCGGTACGCAATATTAACATTTGGATGACTTAATTGCCAGTCAATTCTTCAATGTACTATATAAAACAACGTTACCTATAATAATTAAGACTTTTTAGTTATGTACGTTAAATTTTTGAAATAAATTATTTTACCGTGAAACTTTTCAAATTTGTGTGTTTTTAACGTTTAACATGAAATAACCACATTGAATAAATAATCAACGATTCAATATTAAATGGAAAACTTCTGCTTTGTTTTTATTTCAAAACATATGTTCAAGATTTATTCTACACTTTCTTTGTAAATTTACTAACACAAGCTGAGAAAAAAGGTTTTAAAGAAACATGCTTGCCTATTAATATATAGATTTTAAATTTTGGATTTATTGTATAGTCTTTAGTCAATATTTTGTATGAAGTGGAATAACATCAACGGCTACTCTTACAAAATGGCCTGGGAATAAATATGGAATAGGTTCGTACAGGAAATATATTTGTTAATTAAGTAAGTACTATGACAAGTTCAAATGGGCGGAAAACAATATTGTTGGCGATTTTAAACAGTTACTGTCTGTTGATCTAAGCAAAAGAGCTTAAAATAATATAGCCTAGCATGTATGATATATAATATAATAGTAAAGGGAGCATCCACATATAATACTAAAACCTTGAGGTAGTTTCCGTTTCTTTACGTTTCTTAAACTCACCAAAAATACGCATGTCAATGCTGATGAAAAGTAATTTA